GGAATCATTATTCTTTCCATTCTTCCCTAAGACTATGCAGCACTTATATTTCCTCCTTGGACGTCTTGTAACAGGTATAAAAACTAAATGTATACTCGCTATCTGTGACTACCATTGATATGTAGACTTGTCTAGACTATTAAATATCAACCTTACTTTCTTGTTCATACCATATCAGTGGTAGGTACTAGTGAAAATCAGTACAGTAAAAAAAGAAGAGAACCACTGTAAGAAATCACCTTCGTTAATAAAAATTAACATTTTGTTCCTAGTGTATGACAGTACAGAGAAAAAGCAGGAAAAGCAAAATGGAGAGCGAGGGAGGGAAACCAGGGGGATCTGGTACTCTTTCTGTGTAGTCAAGTTTCTTGGCCAGTTTCCTAGTGGCTGGCCTTGTCCAGTAGGATCTTTGGTTCCCTGCACTAACCTAAAGGTTAAAACAAGCATGAATTTAAGAGATGAGTACCAGCTAAGAGGTACACAGCCACTTCAACAGGTCATTTGTATCACTGACATTAAGAGATTAGCTAAATCTGAGCTGGCCCCATTTGCTTTCCATGTAAAATGACAAGAAAAAATGTTATGCAGAAACTCCTACCATTCCTTGCACAGGCTAATAGGTAAACTTCAAAGACTTTTTAAAATAAAAACTGAAGTTTACTTTTCTTTCTACATTCTTAGGAAGCATAGCTGACTATGTTATATTTTAGCTGGGAAAGGTCCATTTTCAGAAAGAAAATGCAGACAGATATAATTACTTAGGTATTAATAAAGATTTCTAAACATAAACTCTGAATAATATGACCTGATATAACACACATCGAAATACAATTAATGATTTCAGCTCTAACACAGTAGTGGTCTAAGCTATTGTTAAATTTCAAGCTTTTCAATCCTTTAGTGAATTAGTTTTGATCAAAAACTATGACAGATTACACCTTTACAACAGCTCCGCTTACTTATGTACATTAGTTCCTTTTCTTAAATTGCCTCAACTAGAGGTAAAGGTTTATAAACACCACAAATGGACATCACTGTTTCTGTGAACTTTGTTATACTGATCCATCAAAAGGAACTAATCTGTGCTGTTCTAAAAACATACAAAGAAACAAATTATTCATGCTAAAGAAATGTTTAAGTAGTTCTGAACAGATGGGATTAGAAGGATTATAGAAAAGGTTACTTCTTAATATGAGTCACTTAAAAAGAGTGAACTCATCAGCCATTGAAGTAGTTTCCATTCAATCTGTGAAATATATAAAGTGGGCACAGATAGAGAACATATTAATTTACAACTGGAAAAGCTTTCTTAAAATTAGAAAACTGCTTAACTTCTATGCAAGTGTTAAGTAACTAAGAATGTGTATCTCATCATACATGTTAATTCTCTCTCTTTTTTCTCAAGGTTTTCTACTCTCAGTTTCAAAATCTCTGCAAAAGGTAGAAGATGAAGATATGTTGCTAACCACATTAAGACTAGGAAAAACTCTTCAAAATGGAGACAGAACTGTGAACAGAGGAGCTATACCTTTGCTGAAGCATTACAAGACTGAAGACAGCAGTGTTTTGGACAAAAAGGATGACAAAAACATGAAGGTTTTGGTGAGTTTTCAGTTTTACATTTTGGCTTAATTGCAAAAAAAAAATTCTCTTTATAACACTTTAGAAAACAAGTACAATAATTTAAAGCAATAACCTGGTGAATATACAGAGATATCAGTTTAGCATACTACAGTCAAGAATAAATTTTCAACTGTAAGTATCTCATTCCAAGATTTCAAATGTGTAACTTGGACAGCTGAAAAAAAATCCGATTTTTACAAAACTATTTGCAACCAAAACCGGGGTGGGTGGAGGGGAGACAGGTTTGATTCAGAATGTCCCTACATGCAGCAACAGGTTTTTAACTTCATCAAATTTAAGACTCATTATTTTATAATGTTCTTTAGCATAAAACCATTTCAGCCAAAGACGTAATGCAGGTCATCACCTTTAAAACACTTGCACTGCTAAATATAAAGTATAAAGAGTGAACACAACTGACTTTAAATAAACTGCTACTCTTGTTTTCCCTTAAAACAGGACACAGGTTCCAGACATGATTTCTTAAATCGTGTTATGTCAATCAACTTAGGTAGAAAGCAACTGCCTTATCTTGCACTGCAGAGCGCCATGGCTTTTCCAGCTGACACTGAAACTCGAAATACTGAATCAATACAGGAAAGAGAGACTGCAGATGAAGAAAATTCAGCTAAATTCCCTATAGGAAGAAGAGAGTTTGACAGTAAGTATATTCTCATTATTACACAAAAATTATTTGGGTAAAGTATGACGTAATGTCTATATAGCAATTTGATAAAGGTTCATTTAGAAACTCCATGCCTATTGTGATTTGGTGCACAGCAAAGGAAGCATTTGTTAAAGTTTGTTAAATTACTAGTTCCAGAGGCCATAAAGAATTCTGGGTCTTTGATGATTTAAACTTTGATTTTTTTTTTCTTGTAGTGCTCAGGTGTATGCTGGGAAGAGTCTATCGACCTTGTTGGCAAGTCTGAAAACTACTGATCTACATGACCTTCTTTGAAGATTAAACATTTTATTATGGATTTAATGTAATTTGAAGTTACTGTGTTTTTAGTGTGGCGATATATAGTTTCCCATCGCATTGTAGAGGGAAGTATAATTCATTACCAAAAAAGAAAATAGCTGTAATTACTAATGATGTATTGTTATAAAAAAATAAAAGACTTCTGCATCATCCAGACTTGTAAGTATTTGTCTAATATTACACACAAGCTGCTTCCACTTAGTTGAGTATGAAAGGAAGCAATTCATTAATTTCACTTTTCGCTCAAAATTTTACAACTTCTGAACCAATGTACTATGTATGTCGAAAAAAACCCCAAACTTATAGTCGAAAAAAGTGACTTAATTTTGCCTGACCAGCAATCAACTTATTCTTGCTCGCAGTTTTGCTCTGTTTTCTTTTTCTACCGATTTTACTGTCCAATTCCTTCTGAGGGTTGTCTGAAGTCTTAGGTCTTTTAGCATTTTTTTGCAAAGATGGTTCACTTTCCTTATCACAGATTACTTTGTCATTATTCAAATCCATCTGTTCATTCTTGGAGTTCTTGTTTCTTGGCTGACAACTCAGCTTTCCCATTTCTGTATAACTTCTAGTCTGGTGAACATTTTCAGAAATAGTTCCAGGCACTGGTACATCAAGACAGGAATTCATACCTTCTGTCATGTAAGAATATCAAAAACATATGTGAAGAAATAAAAAGTTACCTGGGATTATTCATCCTTTTTCTATCAGAGGACTGTCAAGTGATTTTTTTAATCAAAACTAGTGCTCTATCAACAAAATAAAATTATGCTGGTTATTTCAGTTACATTTGCTATGTAAGTAAGCGTACTGCCAATTTAAAATTACATTGCTCAAACCCCTGTAATATCAACTATCTTAGGCAAGTGGATTTATAACTTTAAGATGTTGGAAAAGATGCTGGAAGAGCCTAGAAATTATATTATGGCATGGTTTACAGCAGAGTAAAACAAATTTTCCCCTTTTTTAACAGCGATAACACAAATTTTATTTAACTTACTTTTGTAAAATAAGAAGAAACATTATGTAATATTTGTAAAATGTATCAATGGCTTTATCTCAAGAAAGCATCAATACATATTTTTCAAACAGATTTATATTTTCAAAGCATTATCATTACAATTTTAATGCAAAGACATTTAACTGATAGCATACAAAAAGCAATGAGAAACATCTGGTTATTTCTTGAAAACGTATTTATACTTGAGTTTTACTAGAGCCTTGTTTGCTAATATTTGAAATATTAGCCATCACATTTACTTATTCAACCCTACTACAGCTTACTTGTGAGATCCCCGGCTTCGGAATGTTGCTCTGGTGCAGAATGCATGCAGGTTGGAATTTGGCTACTGCTGAAGAGTTGCTGACCCTTTATTTCTCTCAACTCGTTTTTATACGTACATGCAAACTGAGATTTGATTGAAGATTGCCTAATCTGCAAATAATCTGGTATTAGCTTTAATTATTTACAAAAGTAAAAGACAACACGTGCAAGACTAGTAAAATAACATTTCCCCATTCTTCTGTCTGGAAAGCTTTTAGATCACGTAACGTATCAGAAAAATGAGTACACTCACATTTAAAAATATTCATGAAGTAGTCATTTACAAAACGTAAAGGCTTTCACAAATATTTTATTCTATTGAAGACCTAAAACAATTTTAAAATCTTTTTCCATCTCTTTCAGAAAGTTACACATTATCTTTTAAAGCTCCAAAGTAAGATTTTTCTGTCAAAGTTAGCTCCCTCTTTTGATAGACTGCAGACTACCATTTTGAGTAGCTGTCATAGCTGCTACAGTCAATTACCATACTTCTACAGGTCATCATCTTTGATATGTCCATTGATAAATGCCAAGTTCAGGATGAGTCTCACCACTTAATTTATATGCAGCAGAAAGCATCACAACACTGAAAAGGCGTGAGAGATAAACTAAGCTTCAACATACTTATACCTAAAACTGGAATATGAAGTAGTATTTTAGACCTTTCTTTGGCAAATTTCAGATTTCCCATTTACTCACAAAATAAAGTCATTTCCTCATTGAACGCCAATGTGTAACTCCACATTTGTCAAAACATACCCATATAGCATAAGTTGTCAAAAATCTACAGTATTGAAGAACACCATTGTAACTGGCTCTGCCTACTCATCTCCAACTCCTAGTCTTAGAAGCAGGGAACTTAGTCTCATGGCACAGGTAAATAAAAATATTTAGCTCAAACACAAAAAAATTAAATAAAATTTTTTCAATATATTCAATATATCCATATTTAATGGACTCAATGTTTATAGGTCAAAATTCCTCAGTTGACACTCAAGCTACCATTTCAAACCAGCTTAGAATTTCAGGGTCAAGCTTTGTACTTTCTGTCCAATTTATCACAAATGCTATAGACCCTGCAAGATGAATTCTGCCCTCACTTCCATGTGAAAGTCTACTGGATTGTACAGAAATATGTTGAAAGGTAGAGCATAGACCAGATAATTACAATATATTAGGATTTTTACCTAATAATTTCATTACAGCAGCACCAGTGAATTCAAACAAATATGAGCCAAAGAGGTGCTACAGGACAAATACCAGGCAAAAGAAAGAGCAAGAAATATTATCACAAAGGAAATGTTGCTATATATATAGGTAATAGGAATTATTTGTCAAACAACATGTTTACAGCTGCATTTCTGATTAAAAGGTTTGCATTATGCAAGTCTATTTCTTAACACAAGCATGTTTAAAATATTACAGTTCAGGTTTGATCCCTATAGATATATTTTTCTTCCAACTCAAAATCCCAGATTCAGACAAAGAAAAGAATACATTTCCAGAAACCTCCTTTCACAGGGGCCTTCAACCATAAAATTCAGTCACAATTTACGCCACTTTTATCAGATACTGTTTTCATGCATACAAGCTAACAGACTCTAGCTTTTTATCACTGAGATGTAATCTCTTCATGATACTACATTTGGCCAGGTAAACACACCTAGTCTTTTTGGAAAAAAAAAAAATCCATTTACAGAAGTGTAGCTCCTTCTGACTTATTATGTCTGTACACACACAGTTTTACTTTAAACTCAGTATTCCCTTCAAGAGTTATAAAGACCCAGTTTTCTCAGTTGTCCATCACTCCCAAACTGCAATTCCTCTGTGTCAGATAACAGCCTGAGAAAGAAAGGCAGATTTAATAGGGAGAACTAGCCAGCCTGACTCTCAACAATTCCAATCTTTTTGAAGTTTTAATCTACTCTGTACTTAAAACGTTTACCATAAGGTAAGACTATATATGTAGACGTTTACAAGGTTTTGTGAGCTTCAAGTTTATGCCTTAGCTCACCAAGTCATTAAGCGCATTTTATTAACTTTATACTCTTTTCAGAAACTGTTTTGAAGGATAGAGAAGCTATACCAGAATAAGCTTAGTATTTTGAAATAATTAAAAATGCAACTCTAATCTAGTTTAAACTTAATAAACATCCTATTGTACAATTACAATATTCAGAATATAAGGGGCTTTTTGTTTAGACTTGTTACTGTAATATTAATGAAAAATATTTTCCTGTATTTGCTATGTCTCTTAAACACTTCATCTTAATCCTTTAAAATTCCCTCAATTCTCAGTTACTGTTCAGCAAATGACACTCATCAAAAATTACGCAACAACCACTTGCACAGAGTTCTACCATATTCGTATCGCAAGAGGCAAATAAGATGCAATTTCTGCTAAGCTGATGAAGCTACAATAAACACAGTACAAAGAACATCAAATTTGAGCAAAAAAAGCCTGATAATTATCATTACAGAAGAGACAATAAATCCAGTTACTTTTTGGGACATCAGGGTTACTTTTTAGCACTCCCATCTGACACTTCACTAATTCACTTTCACTAATTAGAATATGTGGAGTCAAAGGACAGAAGTCAAGACCAAATGCTGGAAAACTTCTAGTACAAACCCACCTGTGTTTCAGCTTCACCGAAGCTTGAAATATGTCCGAAAACTTCACTCTGTATTGCATTATATACCATTTAGCCATTTGCAAACAGTATGTAAAGCTCTAAACAAATACAAGTGTTTCAGCTGATGTTAGTACTAATCTAGAGGGTACACATGACTCGAGAGTGCAAGACGAAATTTATTGAAGCAGTCAAACTTCCCAAACTTCCCAGTCTAGGAATGTATATTCACTAGTCAAAACAACTGCATTACACTGAGGTAGCAACAAGCAAATTTTAACAGCCTGAAGGCAAAACAAAAGAGCACAAGTTTAGCGCCGAATTAAAAATTAGAGTTTCACTGGAATGTTTTTAAAGAAAAAAAGAGCAACTTAAAACTTGACTGAAGCACACATAATTAACCCTGTCAACAGCTTGAAATAGCTCTTAGAAATTAGAGTTCTTTTACATTAAATTCCATGAAATCTACTGCTTTGAGGGCAACCACCCCAACGACCCACAGCTCTGGCAGACTAAAAAGATATTGGGACCTCAATTTACTAATCAAGTAGTTGCACACAAATGGTGTGCAATGAACTCATACTTACTATCCTCTCTTCTCTTCACAAGCAAGTGGGATGTTCCTGTTATCCCTATACAAAGAAATAAATTCTCCTGCAATTCAGAAAAAGGGGTTCACTATTATCGCTGTTCAGCTGGAAAAAAGTATGATACAATTTAAGACAGTATTTCAGCACATATAGGTCAATTTGTAGTCCTAATGCGTAGATAAAGCAGGACATTGTCCCACCTTGAGTTCTGCATCTAGAGAAGTTTTTCAGTTGCTTGAGATGCCAATATAAAACATTCACTTTTATATGAAAAATTAATAGTGCATGCTCTATTTATTTCTAAAAGTTAGTTGATAATCTATTCCAGATCTCCTTCCAGCATCTGCATACATACAGTACTGCCAATATTTAGTCACTAAGAATGTTGAGATTTGGTTTTTATATACTGGAATGGCATAATAGAATCTGAAAACCTACATCAGTAACAACAAACACATGTTTTTCTTTCTAGCCAAACAATTAGAGTACTATTTGGAAGAGAAAAAGAGATGAAAAGAGAAAATGTCTTTTTTCCATCCTTACCCTTGTCCTTTTAGGAAAAAAAAAATCAGAAGTTGAAAGAGAAAGTTGAAAAAGGGAAGGGATTGCAAAGAGAAGAGTAACAAAACTATAAATGGTAAGTATCACTGCCAAATCAGGGCATCATGTTATTCAAACATGAAAAGATGACCTTAATAGCTTGGGTAACAGAGAGCTTTTATCGCACTGAACTATCAATTTTTTCAGCCTGACATTGTACCAGCCTTTTGCTATCCCAAATTAACTTACTACTGTTTTGAGACCATTTAGCCCCATACTGGGTTTCAAAAGTACTCAAACCTCATAGCTATGGATCCTAGGAAAGTAGTTGAGAGGCTTTGTAGAAACAAAGATGGGGTTTTTTTTTCTACACAAGTGTGGTTTATCAACTGATACTAATAATAAAGCCTTTCTTCAGATTTTGTGCTGAACATAACCTTTTTGTCCCCTCCCCTCTCCTCCAGATACTCATTCTTAGCATAATCCATACACATTGAAACAACTAGTCACCTTAGTGTTCTCCATAATTATATTCCACTTAGAAATAAATATTTCTTGCTACAATAGATGAGACTACCACCTAAGGAAGACTGTTTTCTCTGTTACTATGAATTTTCTGCTCACAATTACAGTGGGTGTACAGAAAACACTTGATAACTTCCTGTTGATAGTTTTCCAAGTCACAGTTTATTTGTACTGGAATCATAAATAGGCAAAACAATTCTCTCAAGCATTTAGAAGACTAAGCAATGAAAAATAACAGCAGTGCATGAAGCTAGATATTAAGTCATTTTATACAGGCATGAACAAGTCACATGAGAAAGGCAGACTGGGATTTTTTTTTGCTTTGTGGAGCTTTTTTCCTTGGAAGGATTACTATACACAGTAAAATTACAATGAACTTCAAGCATGCCAAGATTTGTTAGAGTTCTTAAGCCACAAATTCTTTTTAAAACTAAAACTACAGTTACGTTCCCAATTGGAGGGAAATAGTGCCTCATATAGGAAAGGTTGTCTCCAATTACATTAAGAAAAAAAACATGCCAAACTACTGAAAGTCTTTGCAGCTGTTTCAGAGTAAATGTGTTAACAATGCAGCAGGATTTCTAAAACAATGTATCAAAAGGCCAAAACAATCCTAAGTTTACAAAAAAAAAACCTCTTACTCTCTCATATATTGCATGATCACAGCCTAATAGCTTTTGTTCCTTCCTTCTTAACTCCTGAAGCTCTCAGTTTCACCCAATCCCATGAGTTCAGGAACAGTATTTTAATATTTTCTGATGCAGAAGAAAGATTAAAATCTTATTATGCAACATTTTTCTTGTCTTAAGTTGCTCTTTAACCTAAACAAATCGGGTGATTGCAACAGTCCTTCCATTCATCTCTCTCACTAATAAGCAGCACTTACATAACCCCATTGAAATCAACAAAATAAGTAGTCAAGCAATAGGGTATCTACCCATTTGGTAGATAAATGGAAGTATGATTCAAAGAAGCAGACATAAGATTGGATGAACTCTTTTTAGGTAAAATACTTCTCTCCTGTCTAATTAAACTTTCTACATACTTTTATAAAGCAGAAAGGAATGATAAGGACAACTGACAAGAGACATAACTCAATAGATACTCTATAAACCTTTCTGAATTAAAGACTCCTTCCACAAAATACCATTCACCAGAAGACAAACAGTAGATAACAAACCTGAAACTCTAAATTGTCTCCCAAAGAAAGACTGAGTTTCTTATCATTACTTTTACCTGCTTCTGTTGGAGGGAATGAAAAAATGCAACATGCTAGCTCCCCAGACTTCTTTCTCCTCAAGCGATAAGAGTGACAGCTTTGCCTCCTAACAAACGCCGTTACAGTTAGGTGATTTTTCTGCATCTCTTCCAGTATTTAGTGAGGATTGAAAGACAAAAATATTTCTTTGTCTTTCACTGTTGCCAGGAGTTTGTTTTGGCACAACGTAAATACCCACAGACTTATTTTATTTTTAAACAGCAATTCCAGTTCATAGCCACCCATTTACTTTATCCGCTCTCCATATTGTTAGATACTAAACACATATGCATGATGATGTGCCCTGAGTCTAAATATTAACCATCAGCACTTCTCCACATAATTCTGTAGAAGCTGAGAGATCAGTTCCTCTTAAGGAAGGAGAGGTCATAACGATTTTTTTCCCCCTCTCTCTTTAAATTTAGAGAAGTGTTTCTCCTTCCGCTTTCTAGATATTCCTAGATTTCTTTATTCAACATATACATCTTGATGGGTCTCAGCATACAACCAAACTAATCATCGCTACTGTCTTTATCTTCCCCTCTCAAATATCATGGAAAAGACGACTTTTATATGACAAGCTCTAATGAGAGATCATGGATTTGTACTATAGACTAACCATCTAAGCACCTATCAGAGGCAGCATGGTAAGAAGGTCCTTAGGACAATTCTATGGAACTAATGCTACAATCATACATACTGCATAATGTCAATGATTCATCTGAGAAGTTTCTTGAGAAGAAACACAATGTTGTTATTGCCTTAATCCAAAAACAGATGTATGGTATCTCTTCTGAGTCAACTGTTAAAATGAATGCATCGTGCATAACAATTTAAAACTGTGAGTTTTAGAAGCAACCTGTACATATTTCAAGACAGGTGTATGAAACAATAATGAAGACTGATATTCAGTATAAGAAGGTGATAAATATTACTACAGCACTTGAGATCTATGGTCATTGACAAGGAATTAATTGTGCTATGTGCTGCACAGTAAAGATAGAAGAAAAATTTATTTCTACCAAGAGATATTACAATCCAAGACAAGAAATTTATGGATTCACAGAGAAAGGAACTGAAATTAGTTATTATAATGAGCATCCATCTCAACACAAAGCACTGCTAAGTTTTGGGGAGAGGTTGATTTAAAGGTACCGAAAAATGTTTTGAAGGAGGATAATGAGTTCTGCAGATACCTATAGGAGATCTTTTCAGCTATAAGAAACAGTATAGAACAGACAATTGAAAGAGCTAGTCTGAAAATTAACAAACGAACAATGAAGACTGGTATTGCAGGCTGAATGCAAGCAAGGATGGATATCTCAAAGCAGCAAATCAGAAATAATCAATATTGGGATAAGTTAAAAGAAGTAGCTTACATGTACTACAACTTAAAGGAACAGATTGAGATGCCAACAGAAAAATGGCATCTGGTGTCTAATCACTTCAATAACAACTTTTGTACAGCAATCTCTGTGAAGAAAGATAGGCCAAAACTGCAACTATCATGTCCAAGAAGAATACACAGCAGTACATTAAAAAGCAAAATAAACCTATAATAAATTGTAGTTGAGCGTACATACAGGTAAAGAAGAATATATTCCAGAGGGGTTATGGAGTGAAAAAGTAACAGGTAGCATACCATCCTCAATGTTAAATATAGCAGGAAAGATAGACATACCACCTCAAGATCAACAGCTCGGTATTCACAAGATGGTATAGAAGTAACAAAAGATGTCAGTTTTGAAGAAGGGACACGTAGGTCCGATGTAGATCTGTGAACTGTTCATATAAAGACAACAGCGGAACTTCTGTTTGTAGTTGCAGTCTGCTTTCTACCAAAGAATGTTCAGAAAGAGAAGAGAAGAGAAAGACAGAGCCCTGTAAAGTCTTCGTAGAAAAAGGAAGAAAAGGAGTAGAAACATGCAAAAGAAACTCTGTAGAAATTGCTAGAAAGGTAGAAAGAAAGTAGGATTTTATGTGAGAGGATGGAGATCAAAGATGAATGGCAGAGAACTATCTGAGTTTTAGTTAGAAAAGTCATTAGTTATTGGGCAACAGCAATTTTAGTTGACTGGAAGGAGAAGCAAGACTAAAGTGAACATAGAAAAAATACCTGAAAAATAATTCCAGACTTCACAGGAATACGTTGTAGTTTAGATAGCAATGTTTGGCTGATACACAGAGTTGCAAACATAACGTGAAACACTCAGATATCTTATCTTGATTAAGAGGACACTATGCTGATACATAATTGAGGAACACTTACACTCTGAACTACATGATTTCTTTTTTTCAATTTTTAAATGGAAAAACGTATCGAGATATTTGGCCTCAGCTCCATGCTGCACTTTGTCTTTCTGGTACAACAGGATACACTGGAAGAAAGCCATAAAGAAGACTGATTGTGATTACTAGAGGCAGTTTAGCAGCCTCAAGCCTGCTCTAAGATATGATTCCTACAGCCTTAAGCAGCCACTCAGTTTAACATGTTAGTCACACATTACCATCCACATTACTAAAGTAGAGGAAAAGAGTCCACCATCACAGATTTAATCTGCAAAAGATAACACTATAAAGCAAGCTTTGCAATCTTCTAAGATGCCAAAGAAAGTTTAGAAGTGTGAACCACAGACTTTCGACCTGTTGCTTGTTCTCTTTGAATTTTGGTTTTCATAAGACAAAAGGTAGTTTATATTGAAATATAGTCATCCTCAATTATATTAGGCACCTGGTGAGCATCAAAATTAGTTCTAGAAGTTGACTGAAAGATCTCAAAAATTATTGGCTACAAACATTAGCTGTTTCATTCTATTTTGCTACAGGTACATTGTATTTCATCAATCACAGTGAAGCAAGACTAGGAGAGGAGATTCTTGTATTGTATTAACAAGGATCACAGGAGTCACAGAACACTTAGAGTCAGGCACTACAAAAGCAGCGCAGGAGAGTGATGAACCTTTGCATGCAATTCCTGCTCCTGAAGTAGAACTCATTCAATTATTCAGAGACCTCTGAAAGAACTACTATTTGCACAGAAATTACTGTAGCTAATCTGGTATTTTTGATTAGCAAAAAAAGTATTGCTAAAAAAAGTTAAAATAGTTTCATAATATGAATTACTCTCGAGACTCATATTTTTGATAGTTTCTGTCAAAAAACATTTAAGTTTCCAGTAGAAGTCTCAAATGTGACAAGTAATTACTTTCAGATAATTTTTGTACTTTGATACTGAACAGAGCTGTTCATGAATCCAATTACAAAACCTCCACTTAGATAAGAAAGTTACCTATTTCAATGTATTATACAAACAGCGTACCACGTTCTTGCTATTTGATGAGTAAAGCTGCAATTTAAATATGCTGTTTATCCTCAAATTAATATAATGAAGATCTTTGTCAGCTTCAATCTTTCATAATTTGCCTGTAAGGTTTAAGCTAAGTTTCACCATAATTAGTGCATGTATCTAAAATGCCCATCATCTACCCCAACCCCATTCCAAAAAAGGCACTCAGAATGAAGTTGAAGTATATTTTAAACACATGCTGGAAATACTGACAGTGCTTTTCATTTTACTCACTTCTAATGACTTTTTAATTTTCAAACATGTAATATATTAAAATTCCCCTCATGTCCAGTAGCAGAAAGATATTTTCCATTGTGTTCTTCTAGAACTAATTCTGACGGCTTAAAACACCTCTGTTTTCTTCCTTATATACCAATTACATTTGTGTTTTTACCTGTTGTCAGGACTCAGTTTGTAAAAAAATATTGTCACTACTTTTACATAGCTCTCTGTTGAAATGCTGTGAAAGATACAAGCTCTGTCTCATTCCATAGTCCCAAACTCCAGTTTGACAAATTTGAGGAAAAAAGACTATGTAAAATGCAGTGCACTGGAAGGCCACAATTTTCAGAAACACTGAAGTTGTTCTTTTGAATAGTGATGCTCACAATACCAACACGCTCTTGTAATGTTCCATTTCGTCTACAAAATAGCAAACATTAGCATCTTTATTTTATTGTTCACAAAGCAATGTTATGGAAATGTCCTCAGAATGTTAGAAATAAAAAGAAACCCCTCCCCAAAAAATGCAATAAAAAGTCATTATTACACTTTTAGAATGCCTATATTATCAGAACTGAAATCAGGTGCTTGTGTTGAGTTTCATCCTGTTTTCACATATCTTCAGTTTTATTTCTACAGTCCTGAAATACACAGATGGCTAAGTGAAGAGATATAGATTAACTCAGTATATCTCCATTAAGAGATCTTCATTAGGAAGTACTTTTAAGTTTAAAGCCTTTCTCTTCTGGAGTTTTAGGTATTTCCATCTGTATTGCGACACTGTTCAAGTTGGGCTAATTACCACAAGTTAATCACAATTACATTTCTTTAGCTATGGGATACATTTCAGCCAAGTATTTGAGAATTTTAATACTGTTGTTTTCATTTTAGCATCATTATTTCAGTGCATCTATAGTTGCATAGCAATTCCTACAAAGTACCTTAATCTGTTTTTCATCCATAGATTTCTGAATACGTTGTCTGAGAGGTTTTGGAGAAGATCCATGAGATTGTGCTGGAGATCTGTATTAAAAAAAGATGTAAGTAGTATTTAGACCATGTAAAAGCAATTAGTTACAAAAAATAGTTGCCAAGTTCCTCAGAAACAGAAAGGCAAGTATCTTCACCCTCCAAGCCTTACTTTGTTTCGTCCCTTCCTAAGTAACCACATGTACACTGACAACTGAGGACAGCATAATGAAACCGAACCTACAGTTCTGAGTTCTGTATTATTCTGTGGAATGTTTACAACACTGTAGTTCCGTGGGCACAGTATTATTATTGGTAAAGCTGGCGATGAGTTACCAAGTCACCATTCTACTTCCACCCCCTTGAACAGCATCTGGTTGACATCCAGATTAATTTTCCACGTATCTACAGGCTTCTCAATAGAAGTACTCACACAAAAAAATTTTACAATTCCATCCTCCTATATTTGAGTATGTGAATAGTTATGTACATTAATGAAAAATTTTGATGGATACAAGAGGTGATTTTTTGCTCTTGAAATAAGAAGACCTACTCTGTGCATCTGTAAATAACTACCTCTCTGTTTCTGCTCGTGGCAGGCCAGTGTGTGTGTAAGGACAGTTTTTTCAAAAGCAACTTATTCTTAATTTTATTTATTTAGCTCATTTTATTCAATTATTCCATAAATAAAATTTATTTGATTTAGCACATTATTTTCTTTATTTCTGTTTGTCCGTGGTGCAAAATTTCTGGAGGACTTGCAATGTCTTTCATATTTAAACTGCCAAAATACGTAGTTTCACCATGCTCCCGTCTACACTGTTGTTCTGGTTCATGACTCCTCTTCTTAACCTGTCACAACAAAATTCTCAGCATCCCACTTTTCCAACTACTGATTCCTCAGGATAAGCAACCGATTAAATCATCACTGCTTCTCCAGTGCATGGATAGGTTAGTTTCCTTTTCAGTGCCACAGAAACAGGTTTTTAAGAGATTCTTTGTTTTGTACAGCAGATCAACATGGGTACTCCTTAAACAGAAGGAAATTTTTAAAAGCAAGAAATTAAATGAGTCTTCTTGCTCATTTCTGACTGGCTTTAATGGTAATAGGATAGGAAGATGATGGCAATGATATGAAAACCAGCAGCAAACAAAAAGTTGCCCCAAACCCTGAATACCTGTTGAACCTGCAAAACCAGAAAAAAAAAAAAAAACAAAAAAAACCACCCCAACAACAACAAAAAACCACCTTTATGACAAAAATTTGTGAAAATACTTAATCCATGGTCATGCAAAATTTATCTCTAATGCACAAATAACATCATTAATTATATCAGAATCCCCTTACTTTGATATCAATACCATCACTACATTTTTATGTTTGGTCAAAAAATTTAAAAATACTATGGGAAAATAGCATATTTCTTCCCTCCACACAGCTTCAAAAAAAAAAAACCGCAAAAAAACAGCAAGAGAATTTTGTTTGAACCTCTATACTGCATATCTAAAAAGAACATTTTCCAGAAAACTGAAATAAGGTGCTTACAGAAGGAAAACGTTTGACAGATATACTAAAGGACAGATTAAGAAAAACTTCAGCTTGGTTAGGATGTTCTAAAACACTGAGGATGTATTTTCAGTGCTTATATTTTTAGTTCCCAAATTACAATAAAAATATTTTTAATTAAAGCCAACAAAAAAGTTAAACACTATAGCTTCTTTCAGCAGTAGCTTTTTTTCAGAAGTTCAGTGCAGAGAGGTGAATATACCAAGTTGATCTAATAGTTTATTAAAAGAAGAGTAAAACAAAGCAAGAAAAATTCCTGAAATGCTGAGGTTTTGAAAGAGATGCTCTCATTTAACCTGTCTTCACCTGAAAACTAACAGTGCTCTCTCAAACAAACCAGAACCCAGACAACACTACTCACAAACTTTAAACATATTTTGGGATTCTTCAGCTATGAAATCTCCAGAAATAACAGAAAGCATCATGAAAAACCTCAGAAAAATAACTACCATGTGATCAAAAACTGTAAAACCATAACTACAATATGAGGTAATGAACAATTTGATACACAGAATCAGATTAGCAAAAAGAATCTGAAGACTGCAGCGACACGTACTGCCAAAGGTACTGCCATTTATCCTGTAAACTGTTCCAGATTTACTTTTAACAATAGCTTGGCAAAAATACTGCAATCTAGATCAAAAATTTGAGACATAAGCATTAATTAAAAAAAGTGCTGCACCATAGAGGTGCCTGCACATTGACGCAAATCAGAGTGACACCTTAGCTACTATCCTGCGTAGTATTAAGGTGTTCAGCATTCATAGGGCAATTGGAGCCTTACAGTAAAGCTGCTAGAGAAATGCAGAACACAGAAGATATGAAAAAAATTAAGAACTTGTTGTTTGCAAGTTTTATTTCAGTTTTTGAAATCAGTTTTTTATTCCTAAAACAATTCAAGATTATAGATTAAATACTTCAAATAAGTTACTTCTAAAGAAATTTTTTTTAATGGAAGCAAACAGATAATATTAAAAAAAATCATATACTGGAAAATAAAATCTAAACCAAATTCACTACTAAGAATTACTAAGGAAAACACAAGAATTGTCTAGGCAACAATATAAATTTCCAGATAGTAGTACCTGTTTACACCTACACTGAGAAGATTTGAGTCAAAAAATGTCTTATCCTTTCAGGGAAAAGTCAAGGAAATTAATTCAGCTGAAAAAAAATTAAATGAGGTAAGTGAAACCAAAGCCCTCAGTGGGCACTCTTCTTCAGAAATAAGTGGTTTAAAACCCATTTTAAACTAAAGAGTTACTTAAAAAATAATCAAGATTAACTCTGAATAACAGCAGTGTTTAATTCAGAAGAATTCATGTGGGCCTTGATTCCATTCACATACAGCATTAACCTAAATCTAATTAAGCTCCTTTCCATTCTGATAAAAATACAACCATGGTGCAATTTATTAAATTAATGAAACAATTTAAAAAGTAATGTAGATCAGTTTTCCTGAAGCTGAAATAATGGAAAAATAACAGACTGAAATCAGGGTTGTTTTAAGCTTGTTACATAATGAAATAAAATGTATAGCTACAGCTATCCACAGATATTTGAGAGGTGAAAGAAATATTCCACAATAAGTTGTTGCAATCCGCCTTTTATATTGAAAATCATTACAGGTTTATGTAGAATTCTTACTAGTGAAATTAATTCTTTTAAGTCTTATTAGAACGTCCTTGTTCCTTTGGTTTCATAAAAGAGGTCGAACAATAAATCTAATAGAACACTTAAATCCTTCAACTTTTATGATCCTCCAACTTTCAATTTAGGACCTATCACTATTTTTCTCATTCCTTGCTGTTATCATCACAGCCTTGCACCTGCATGGTCTGATAGTGTTATTGTGGTGGGATCTCATGGGAAATGGCTGCTACCAGCATAAGTAACACCCCCTTCTTCCCCACTTTTCCTACCCTTTTCATTGTAGCTTTTCTTTGATGTTAGGGAATCCAAAAACATGCATGCACAGAGCTTAATAAGCAACTGACCACACCGTCCCTGCCCTGGTGAACATGTGCTCCAATCACCGCTAAAGGCACTAAAACCAGGGACAACCAACAGGGGGATTGAGCAGGTCCTTATGAAGACAATAGTTACCCTGGGAAAAGCACTACTGGGAACCAACCACTGTACTTCAGAAGATACTTGTCTAGGAACCCTGGTTGCTCTACTTCCCAAGTGGCCACCAGGAAGAGTTTTCTCTTTCCTCTCCCTCCTCTTTTGATTTTACTCTTCCCCAAAAGCAACTTTCATCATTAGAGTCAATGTATGCTATCAGCTACAGACCCTACTCATAAATCTTCATGCATGTGAATTTGTTTCAACATCATTTGTGCAATACTATCCTGATTGGTGAATCACAATATGAACAACTATTTAACTATTTAAAACTGTCTCCACAAAATAATTACTATGTAGGAAGAAAACAGGATACAATCCAAAAATCTCTTGTCAGCTAGACAAAGGAGGCATCTTCACATTTAACAGTAATCTAATTAGATACTGAACAGACAGTATTTGAACTTAGGAGTTCAAACTCTACTTAAGAGGTGAGTATTTGGAAGATTTGTTGCAAAGGATATTCCTTCATGGGTTTTGTGCAGCCCAGAAATGTACTAGCTCAAAAATTCCATATTACAAAAGTATCTTGAAGATACAGAAAACACAAATGAGGGGGTAGAAGACCTTTGAGTACTTGAGACTGTTCTAAGAATGCTTACCCTTTACACTTAACCTCACAACACACTGCACTTAGGTCATATGCTTTGTGTAAGTAATATCAATGCTTTATTAGCCACTCAGTGTAAGATCTTTAAAACCAAACCCAACACAAACACAAAAAAAAATAGTACTCACCTGAAGAGTGTCAAAACAGAGGTGATTCCAAATAAATGAAAGCATTCATCATCATATAATAGTTCTGCTTTGTTCTGGGTAGGAGGATTGACAGCTTCTTCATCCAGAAGAAATAGTAAGACCTTTACAGTATCTCTGCCACAATACACAGTGCCATGATTTATGGAATGCAGTTTTGGCTGAAAGTAAATAAAATTAAAAGGAACATACAACAGGAAAGGTCAACAAGCCAGACCAATAGCTCATCTCCAAAAGCAACCCATATAAGCACAAGGTGTGAGAATCCCCTCCTTCCCTTTCACAGTAAGCATTTATGGGGCACCTGCCCATGGGAAAGTTTCTTCCTCTTCTAAAGCAAGTAGTAGAGTTCAGATCACTGCCAGCTGGAGGTCTACACTGATCAGTAAGTCACATAGATAAATATACAAATCCATGACGAAACCACACAGCAGAAGTTAACATGTTATTTTCTCACAACAAATTTGAGTGCTATGGGGTACACAAACACATTCTGGTGAAGTCCAACTCCTCTGACTAACTGAATCTGCTAAAGCAATTGGTTAAAAGTGAGAGTTCCATCAAGATTTGACAACAGAGGTACTTGGCACAATCTCCTGTTGTTTGGAACAGGATGAATTCCTCACGATTTTCCACAAGAATAAAGAATTCCTTCAAGAAAATAATAATCCACATCTGGAAGTGCTCAATGCTACAGTCATCAGTACAGATGTAGAACACCACAGCTACTATGGGACTGCAAGAATTGCAGGTTTGCTATATTTTTTCTTTAAAAGTACTAAGAGTTCCACAGAGAAATTTAGTGTATAATACACAGTAGTAGATTTTAAAAACTATAGGCTTTCTTATTTACCAATAGACAGAAACATTGAATAGCCTGACTTGGTTCAGAAGGACAGGACAAGCAACGAACTGCATTTATCTAATCAGTTAACTGCTTTTAAACACAGTCTTGAAAAGATCAAATTCTATTTCTTTCTCTATTTGATTACATCAATTAGTGTATGTAGCTTTCAAGAAACCATAGCAACACATGTCAGTCAGTTACTATAAGTTATAATCAATAGCTAGAAATAGCAATTACAAAAATGGTTGTTACTTGGCTTTACAGAATTGGCCTATTTCAGTACCATTTAATTTCCTCAAAATTTATTCTGAACCTCTTCAGTCATTACATCACCACATCACAGACTATTATAAATGTCATGTGTGTCACAGTAAATTTGTCTTAATGAGAAAAGTACAAATTTGGCATCATCTTGACTGATTATACACAAAGGAAAAACAATAATCTTTAGAATACAACACAACCTTACTGCCAAAAGATGACCTTCAGAAATCTCGTGTACTACAACAACAGCGACTTGTTCTACTAAACATGGACTAAAATCCTGTTGTGCAAGGCACAATAAGAACTTTAGGTAAGACAACAATCCCTGCCATAAAAATCTTGTTTATTAGTAAGCTTAAAATCATGATTCAAGTTATTTTTTCATGAAAACAGTCAATCAGTCTTTCAAGGGTAGTGATCATTAGCTACTCCAGACTATTCTGGTTAGTTCCAGAAACACCAGCCAGGTTCCATTTACAGTAGTAATTTTCTCAGGAAGAAATTAATCATAATTCCTATTAGTCACTTGTGCAGGCTTCAACACAAAGTAGCGCTTCCTGCTGCATAAAGTAACTTTTCCCAGAGCTCTAGATTCTTATAAAACAGGTATTTGCAGGAAATCTGAGCATTGATGGAAGAAAACTGCCACTGCCAGGAGAAAAGCAAGTATCTTTCTAGCAAAGTAACTCCTTTCAGGTACATTTTATGAGGAAGCAGCCTTCCCAGGAGCTAGTGGGAGCATCATTTTCAGCACTGTAGTTAAGACCGTGTTTTAAATTTGCACTCAAAGAAATTATTCAATCTCTTACATATGAAGAAACATAAGAACCTATCAAAAATCAGAACTTATTCTGAATATAGAACAATTTTTCTGAAAAATAATAGCACTGGGATTTGGGGGTTTCTTTATAAAGAAAAAAGCAAAACATGATAAAAAAACACTAAGCTGTATGTGAAACAGCACAGAGCATTAATCTTTTCTGTCCTGAGATCTTAATGGAACAATACAGGTGCTCTAATTTTTTTTATACAGCTCAAATTCATTTGGAAAACTTATGGGGTTTGGTTTGGTTTTTTTAACTAGTAATGGTAATCTACCCTTTATATGCTTAGTAAAATGTTCTGCCACACCAAGCTCCACTAACATATGCAATCTGATATCAGTCTCTTAACATTTGCCTAAGCTCCCTTTTCCACCCCTGAACTCTGCAGAAGTCACATATTTAGAATTATCATTAAAATATACATTCATCAGCCAATTTTCACAAACTTCATTTACATCAACGAAAAGAAATCCTCACACCAAATCAAAACAGCATCTTCACAACACCAAAGGCAGACAATTTACGCACACTCCACCCCTCGTTCCTTCACTAGAATTACAAAACCAAGAATTCCTCACACTAAATCAACTCCCTAGCAATGTTCAGTCCACACTTTGTGTGTTACCTCTCCTAATTACTGTCCATATCTCTAATTCCTCAGGCTTCACATTGGGCACCACAAAGGACTGTGTCGGGTTGACCTTGGCTAACCACCAGGTGTCTACCAAGCTGCTCTAAGACTCCCCCTCCTCAACAGGGCAGGAAGACAACAAATGACAAAAGGCTCCTGGGGTTGAGATGAGGACAGGGAGCTCACTTACCAATTATCATCGTGGGCAAAACAGGCTTGACTTAAGGACATGAATGTAATTCATTGCCAATTAATCAGAATAGGACCCTTCTCTTCCTCCTAGACTCAAATTCACTCCCAACTCTTTTACCTCCTTCCCTCGAATGGCAAAGGGGATGGGGAATGAGGGTTGCAGTCAGTTCCTAACATTTTGCCTCTGCTGCTCCTTCTTCCTCACACTCTCCTCTGCTTCTGTGTGGGGTGCCTCTCATAGGATACAGTCCTCCACAAAATTCTCCAGTGCAGGTCCTTCCCACAGGCTGTAATCCTTCAAAAACTTCTCCCCCATGGGTCCTTGCCACAGTAGTGCAGTCCTTCAGGAACAGCGATGGGTCCCCCATGAGGTCACAGTTCCTACCAGAAAATCTGCTTCTCCATGGACTACAACTTCTGCCAGGAACCTGCTCCAGTGTGGGCTCTCCACAGGGTCACAGCTTCCTTCAGGGTACATCTACCTGCTCTGGTGGGGGGTCCTCCACAGGCTACAGGATGTATATCTATCTGCTCCACTGTGGATCTCCACGTGCTGCAGAAGGCCAACGTGCATCACCATGGTCTCCATCACTGACTGCAGGGGAATCTCTGTTCCAGTGCCTGGAACATTTCCTCCCCCTCCTTCTTCATTGACCTTGGTGTCTGCATAGTTGTTTCTCTCACATATTCTCACTCCTCCCTCCCAACTGCTGTTGCACAGCATTTTTTTTACCCTTTCTTAAACATTATCACAGAGGCGCTACAACCATTGTTGATTAGCTTAGCTTTGGCCAGCAGCAGATCCATCTTGGAGACAGCTGGAACTGGCTCTGTCCAACACGGGGGCAGAAAAGGATTAGCTTAAAGCCCATCATCCTCTGCCATGTACTCAAGTTTCCCCACTGAGAACTATAGTAGAATCTGCCCATCCACAAGTAGATGGGATGTTCCAGCAATCAATTAACTTAAGAATTGGCAAAAACTTCAACATAGAACCACAGACTCATAGTAAAATAATTAAGTTCATAAGCTGCCCTCAGGTGCCCATTTTGAGAAAAATATTAATCCCATTGAGAGAAGTGTGAAGTTAAGTATTTAACCACATTTCCTAACAACATCAGGATACACCCATTTTTGCTATCTTCTGCCTCAACAAGGATACTGGTAAACATTTCCACAGAGTCATTAGACTAAGAACTTCACCTATGAAGAACAATAAGAAACACGAATCATTTTGGAGAAGCAACTTTTTTGTGAATTTCTCTGAAGAATGAAGTTCTATTAAAGTAATTTTAGCTGGATTATAATGATCTATTTTTTAAAAAAAATTATCAAGTAATACAATTATCTAAATAAAGACAAAACTTATAATGGTGATCAATTTTTCAGATGGGGAAGATAAAGAAATAGAAGGATATGAAAGGGAAACTGAGAAATACAGTGATGAAAGATTCAGGTGAAACAGGAAAATGAGGATGAAATATATACTCTAACTGCTCAGTGGAAACACACATTTAAAACAGTTCAACTAGCCACTAGGGTCTGGCTGGTTTCAGCTCTCATAGAAAAGAAAAAGCATATTGGAAGTCTGATTAAAATTTGTTAAAAATCTTATGTTACCGTGAGGTAATTCCAGTGATTTCATGAAACAAAACATTCTTACAGTGTACACACATTCAAAGTGTCTGTAAGTTTTTAAAAGTTTCCTGGATAAAAAACACATTACATTAGATACTTTATATATGAACAATGTAAAAAAAAAGTTAAAGGTGGTTGATGTTTTCATATCAAAAAAGATCATAAAATAAACCTGACTATATTCAAAGTACAGAAACCATAAATAGAAAGTCTGTATTCTGCTCTCCACACCTGACAAAGAACTCTAAATATCCTGATTCCTTCCATGAAACTAAAATCATTTATAGTTTCATTAGTGTCTTGAAACACTAAAAGAGAAAAACTTACACATTGATTGTTTGGGGTTTTATTTTTATTCCCCTCCCACTCCACATTTCACCATGTTTTGGACTTCTTTCATATTTAACATCATTTTGAATGCCTTACTCTTAGAAATACACAGGTTTTAATTAGCTCTGCACCAAGTATTTTAATCAAAATTACTGATACATGTTCTCAAATCTTAATTCCACTTTCATGAGTTTTTTTCCTTGCAAATTTGTTATAGCTCTACTGCCTTGAAATTGGTGGCAAACCTGACAGTTAAAAGTATCTACATTTATAAAAACCATATGAACAAATTAAGTTTTGAAGACTATTCTATTTACAATTTTGAGGTAAGAAGTTTTGTTTAAGTAAATCAGTTTTTTGAAATTCACACTGTAATCCTCAAGTATAAGTCTTTTGAGTTTAAAACCATAGTGTAGAGGACATGATACTGCTCTGTACTATTAGGAAAAGATAATAGTCTATATAAAGTCCATTAAAAAAATAAAAAAGAAACAAAACAGGCAAAATACATTCGCTTTCTTGTAAAGCTAAATAGTATAAAGAACAAAAGAAGTCCCATTACCCGTGCTGGACTAACTCCAGTAGTGCTGGCAGTCAAGACTTCATGTTGTGAATCGATAATATTTTTAATCTTCAAATCCAAATCTTGTACAACTTCCTCTACTGCCTGACAGAAAGGATCCCCATTGCTTCGGCCTTTTATCAAATGCATCTTCACTGTTGACAGAATTCGCCCCCCTGCGATTCTGAAAATAGGCACAGGGTCACATCCACATTAATCTTGGCAGTACTTTAGTATACCTATTAGTGTTGAACATAGCCAGTCTTCACAGTTAATCAAAACTCTTCGGAGAACAGCTTTGATCTTTTAAATCAAACAGCAGTGTAAAAGTATTGTCCAACATAATGGTTTGCTAGAAAAAAAGATTATTAGGAAAGGTAATGAATTCAGCATTTAGTAATACCCTGAGCTGCAACACAAAACTGACTTCTCCATAAAAGTTCAAAGAAAAGTATGCTCTTTAAACCTACAGTTAGTGTTTTGATCATAAGCTGTTAAGTGTAAACAAAATGTTTCACTGGAACACGGATTCCAATTTAACAGCCTATTAGATTTTTGAGTCTCTTGTACCTCATGAAAGTGCTTCAAAATAACAACCTGCTTTCAATTTTATTTAAATAGATAGTAATTAGACTAGATGAACCTCATTGTTTGCCATAAAGGCACACATTATTAATCTCTTTTTTCATCAACTAGAAAAAACGCCTACAGAAAATAACTTACTAGTTCAATTATGAAATATCCAGTTTAATTATGAAATGTCCATGCACTTTGACGTCAAAAAAATAAATAATTTAATCTGATTGATATAGGGGCTTTATTTCAACTCTTATAGAAGGATAAGAAGGCATTTGTGAGTGCATCTAAGTTACGTTTAGACTGTTAATTTCATTTCATGGCCCTGTACCTTGAATCATCCACACTGCACATACGATAGACTACTTTTCAGATCACTCTTGGATTAGAACCACTAGGTCTCTCCCCAGTGAAACTCCTGAATGATAAGCAGTTACAGTTGTGCAGATCATGCTTTAATAGGCAGTACTGAGAGAACTACACCATGTCTTGCTCCCTCAGACTTGCAAGATCCACGTCCTATAAAAATGGAAATAAAACAGGCTGCCAGGTAGGTCACATTATCCTGAATACAAAAAAAAAATCAATTATTGAAGAATCACAAGAAAACTCAAAGATCTTGCATCCAAAAAACAGCTACAGAGACCGAGGCTCTTGTGACAGTGCAACTTGATTTACCCAGACGTGGTGAATGAGAAGAAGCAGTTACAATTCCAAGAAATCCACTGGCCATTTATAAGTGCATCTTTCCATTCAGGGGTTGAAAGTGTTGCCCTCAACAATGCTGCTCAAAATTAATAAAAGAACTTAAAGCTTATAGTGAAAGCAGAATAATCCCATTACAAGAGTGGAAACTCCAAGTGTTAAGAGTGAATTGCTCATTTTGCAAGTGTGTGGTGAGTAGGTGCAAAACCCATATGGAGGTACAAAGGTAGGAATCGAGGCACTACTGTAAACTATGACTATAAACCAGGTTAGTAAAGCAGCTAGGGATCACAGATCTTATTTCAGAGATGACCAACAACTATATTGAGACAGCAAGTGTCTCATGACTACTTCAATGAAGATTTAGTGAAAAACAAAATAAACCCCTTGAGTTAAAAGCTTAATAATTTTGTTCAGTACCTGAACAAAACAGTAAGCGAAAGTTCAGGAAAATAAAAAAAAAGCATTACAAGAACCACTCAGCTCTCCTACATCATAAGGCATTCCTTCCCAAAAGCTTTTTGAAGTTGCATGCTGTTTGGAAACTTTATCATCAGTTCTCCAGTCTTCTCAGAACATGAGCCCATGAGCCAGACTGACAAAATTGATTATAATCAAGATTCCCCTCATGCCACCATGTTTAACATCATGTATATGTAAGGACTTCACTATTTCCCCATGACATTTTGCCTTCAGTTTCTTTTTTCTGCATATTTTCCTCAACCTTTTCAGAGTGTGGTACTCTATATTGTATTTTTAGCTCTAATTTATAGGGTTATTTTAATAGATTCCCTCCGCTTTTCCTTTTTCATATACAATTATTTTCACTTTCGAATACCAGCTAATAACACATGTAAGAATAAAGGAAGAAATAAAGTCATAACAAGAGGCACAAAGGACCTATTCTTTTTTTAAAAAAAAAAATTTATTTCCAGGAAAAATAGGTAGAACTCTGTGTTCAGAAAATACCCTGAACTGAAATTAGATTAAGACAGCACTCAGAAGTATCATAAACATTTTCTCTGTTCTTACAGGTATGTATTTATTGCCAGTGTTGAAGACAAGATCCTGTGCTAGTGGCCCCTTCTTTTGAAGTTGTATAATCACATTTCATATGTTTAAAGGCACTTAGACTCTCTGCAGTGACAGCAGTGACTAAAGAAATCAAAACTAGCAAACCTCCCCCAGCTTTCCAGTCACCATGTTTTTGAGAAAAAATTTCCAGTTAAGCTAGACATGCTTGTGATGCTAAGTCAGTTATGAGACTGATTTCCTGTCAGATATTTTTTGAGTTTTATAAAGCCCAAGTACAATGTCAAGCAAAAGCAACAAAAACAGTTCTGTTCATTCTGAACTCCTGCTCTAAGAATTTTCCCTTTGCCGTCAAATTTGCTTCATGATCTTATTGCAATAATCATATTCCTTTTCCAATTAACCTGCAGTTTCTTTTTGCAGACTTTAAGAAACATTAGCCACTTCTCCTGCAACTTCTAACAAATAGATAGGATGGCCAATGCTAAAAAAGGTTAGCCGGTAAAACCTTGCCTGTAACGGCAGAATTATTGAAGTTTTACCTTTTTTTCCCCTCTAAGAGTTAGGTTTATAGTCCAAAACAAAGCAGAAATACAGCATGTTGAGTGTAACCTAACATGAGTCTACCTAGCTCAGACACCAATAGTTATGATTTAACTATAACCATGGACTGCACAAAACAGCTCCACACTTATTCAGACACCCTGAACTCTTGAGCTGCTATTGGCACCTACAGTAGAATTGTTAGATGCGTCTATGATGCTGCAAATCACAGCTCTGCCAAAAACCCAGAGCAATGGCAATAGCTTTATTACTTCAGGTGGCATAGCCAAGAGTGAGACGATGACTAATTTTTCAACTCCCTCCATGCTCCTGGCCTACTTAGTCTAAAAGGATGCTTTGCAAATTGAAAGAAAGGTGTATTTTGCACACATTAAATTCTGAAGATGAATTTTAGAATTCTAGTTGGGAGACCCTCTATCAAATGAAACTCTGCATGTCTACATTCATATAAAATATAAAATAAGGGAGCGGACTTAGGTAAGAATAGGAATTGAGTCAGAGGAAAACTAGTTTGTTTATATTGTTTCCTGTTAAACTACGTGGAGGGAACTGGGCCAGAGACCTTGCTGTTTTGGCTTATTCTGCCTGGACAAGACTCCTGTAAATAACTTAGAAAACCTGAAGCTAACTTAAAGTTTGGTTTTGGGCTTTTTTCCAGGTCAAAACCAAGTATTTCCAAACAATTCTCAGCTTTAACTTTTACAGATTAAAGATTATTCAATTCACATTAGACTCGTAGGCTTGGTTAAACAGAAAAACTTGTGTTTTACAGAAATTTAAGCGCAATGTATGCACTTAGCCAAAAAAAAAGTCACCATGTGAAGTCCCTCTGTACACAGGTCAAGAATCATCCAGCTCTTAGTAAGGATAGTTTAAAAAAAAAAAAAAGCAAAAGGGGAAAAAAAAAGATGCTGGTGTACCTCTGCTCCAAAACCCACAATTCAGTCTAATCACAACAGAATGAAAAGTTCAAGGGGAAAAAAATAATTCAGTGCAAGTTGTCAAGAGGTAAGAAGAGAGCTCTGCTAAAGAAAAGTTCTGTCTCAGAGATGCACATAGGAACTGTATCCAAGTCTCCTGATGCCTCTTGCCAAAGTGCTTCATTTCCCTCAGCCCTAAACTGACACTTTCCAAAATAATACCCTCAAATGAGAAAAGCATTGTATTAAATGAGTAGTATTTGTCTCATAAATGCTGCACTGAACCTAGAACTCCAAGACAAACAAGCAGGTGAAGGGATTGACTGAAGCTGTCTTTGAAAGCCAGGTTCGGTCCTTTCTGTCTACAGATATCTTCAGCTTATCTACATCATCATAATTTCCACACATGCATGTATGTATGCTGGAAGAAAAAGTATTATACATATAGCACTGGGCATCAGTTAATTAAGATAATCATGCCCTTAATTTAAACGCTATGCTCTCTATGTGACTTAATTACCTTGTAGCTTTTCACTAAGGGAAAAAACAAGTATGATAAAAACATTTTCTATGTTTATTTTTTTGCCTCTACTACCCAATGCCAACTAAGGATATTTGCTATTAGAAGTAAAGTTCATTTAATCTCTTTTTCTCCCCATATTTCTCCTTTTCCAGGAAAGAGTTCCAGTTCCCCATCAGATATACACAGTACTAACTGGAGCAAAGAAAAGGAAAAGTTTATTCATACTTCAACTAGAATTTACATAAACAGGCCAAGACATAAAATGCTGATCTAATGTGTGTGGATTAGTACTGAAATACTGTGCCACAGCTTATGCCATTTTGCACCAGGATATGATATAACAACATATGTTGTGAGATTTGTTTCATTAGTCTTGAATATATTTATAAAATATTGAATCCACCTCATTTGTGCTATTTCTTGAATATTTCAAGGCTTACTATAGAAAGCCCTAACTAACCATGCCTAGCAGTTTCAAAAAGTACGGTCAAAACAGTCTCAGCAGGAGAGGTATTCTTTTAATTTCTTTGTATAGGCCACCTAGAGCACAAATGGAGATGGCTAGGGCTCTGTCCATGTTTATAGAGTCCTTTCTGGAGTAAAGGGTATCACCTCTCTCCCAGAAAAGACAATTCACTGGATCAAAACATAACTTAAGAAATAACGATCTTGAAGAAGAAACTATAAATTAATTCAACAATAAAAATAATAGTTCTGTTTAAAGCAATCAAATAAGTTACCTGAGCAACTTCAGATCCACTAGTAGGACTTCATTGTTATTTAGGTTTAAAAAGATTAACTAAAAGCATAAAGATAAAAGTAAAATGTGGTAAAAATGCAACTTGGATTTTTGTAGGTTTATTT